CTATATTATTTTTTTAAGCCTTACCACAACTCCATCAGGGAAGTACTGCTGTTTTACAGATGATGAAACTGAGGCTTAATGTAGTAAAGTAACATGAGATCACACAGTCCAGAAGAGGTAGAGTAGACTTAAGTTCAGATTTTTCTTTTTTTGAGATAGTCTCTCACTACGGTGCCCAAGTTGGAGTGCAGTGACTGTTTACAGGCATGATCATAACTCACTGCAGCCTCAATCCCCTGGACTGAAGTGATCCTCCTGTCTCAGACTCCCGACTTGCTGGGACAACGGGTATGTGCCATGGTGCCCTCCTTGACTTCACACTTCACTCCGTAAGCTCTGTGTCAGCTCCAAGTAAAAGTCCTATAGTTTCTTCATACTTGACTCCTTGGTTCTGCCTATTCCCCATCACCATTCTCCCAGACCCTGAAGCAAGAAATTTAGAATATTTCCTCCTTCTCTCAGGTAAACATTTGGCAGATAGGTCTAGCAGCTTTCTGCTTAGTTATGCTATCCCAAATTATTCATTCCTCTTTGTAGCTAAGTTCTGAGTTCCAGTCTCCAGACAGTTCCAAGTCTGGATTAGATTTTCTTTGCCTTCACTTTGTGAATCTCTGCCCTCTCTCTACTCAGTCACCTCACTCAAAACAAGGGAACTTCATATGCTCAGTAATTCCGCTGTGTCACAATGCAGGGCTGGCCACAGCCCTCTCATCACCTTAAGGGTTACTGACCTCATCTGTCTTTTTTTCCTCTCAGTTCCTTAGTCTGAACCTTTCTTTCCAGTCAAAGGTTTTCCCTTGTGGGAGATTTTAGTTAAAAGGTTGGTTAAAGGGACAGGCTCCTGAACTGGAACAGAATGATTATTCTTAATATCTACAAGTTTATTTTAACACCAGACTCTTGCTAATTCTACTCCAAGTGAATGAGACCTGTCCCAGGCACCATTTTAACCAGACCCAGATTCTACCACCAAAACAAAAAACATATTATTAAGGCAGCACAACCACTCCTATTTCCTAGAGCAAAAGTTCTAATCAACAGGAGCAGGAGGGTATGAGAACAACAAAATTGGTAATCCTGTAAAACAAATAAAGATTGTATTTGTTTAGAGAAGGGTTTTATCAATGCAGAATCTGGGTCCCCAATTTGGTCTTCTAAACCGAAACCTGTATAAAAGACTTCAATCATTTGATTCTGAGGATTTCTGATGGAAAAAGCAATTTACCTTTTTTCCAATTAACATGACCCGGCAACCATCTTGTATTCCAAGTGCTGACAATGGTGTTTCCATTTCCTTCAGGGATTTTCCTAAAAAGAGGAGAAAGGTAGGCCAACTTGTAATAATTGTACCACACTGAAAATAAATTTCAGCAGGATACAGGAAATAGACAAGTGTGTTCACTAATGAGAATTGGTATCTTTTTAGAGGGTGCCATGACCCAGTAATTTCATTTCTACATATTCATCCTAAACAAATAACTGGACATGTGACTCCACAGTAACTACTATACAATAATATTCAGTGCAACCTTTTCATATTAGTGTGAAACTGGAAAGAGCCAAATATTCAGGCATCGGGGGCTGATGAACCACACTACAGAAGACTTTAAAGTCTTCAGTAGGCATTACAGTCTACAACAGGCATTAAAGCTCATTTTTTGCAGGAAACTCCAATGCCACAATGAATGCTGATGACCCAGTGTTATTGAGGGGTTTTATCCAGGGGAACATTTTCTTTTTCAAGCATTCCTCTATTTTGAAACATGAATTTCTATTGTGTTTATAATTCAGAAATAAAATATTTTTAAAAATTAAAGATAATACGTTACATTATGAAATATAAATAAAATGCCTCCTATTATTACATTATTTATAATGACTGACACCCAATGGGATAAGTCTTTCCCCAGTGGATACCAGAATAATGGATTCTCAGGGGAGTGGGAAGACAAGGGACAGGGGCCAGGAGGGTGTGGGTCCTGGCAGAAATGAGCATCATCCATCCACTGAGCCCGCCACATCCAGGTCCCCAGTAAGTTTGTTCAAAACCTCCTTTGAGTCAGAACAATGTGAGGCACTGGAAACACAGCAGTATCTCCCCCCTCACGGAGGCTATTATTCTAACAGAGAAATCAGATGTTAAGCAACTAAGAAAATGATTATTTAATAGTAATTTCATAGAAGTGATGCAAAAACAGCAGGGAGTACCATGGTAACATATAATGGGAAGATGATCTAACCTAGCCAGGGAAGACTGCCCATGAGCTTCATCAAAAATGGTGAGATTTCTGCCATCATCATAAGACTTCAAATCTGACACCTGTCCAGATGTTTGAAAGTGTCCAGTACCTAGCAGGTCCTCAATAAATATCTGTTGAAGAACTGAATGAATAAACAAATAAATAAAAATTGTCCCAGTTTGAAAACAGAGTGACTATTAGGAAAAGTTAAGCAGTTTTAAAACTGTCGCTTGGCCATAAGGAAAAGCTGGAAAAGAAATGCTTACCCTTGGCCGGGCGCAGTGGCTCACACGCCTGTAATCCCAACACTGGGAGGCTGAGGTGGGTAGATCACCTGAAGTCAGGAGTTCGAGACCAGCCTGACCAACATGGTGAAACTCTGTCTCTACTAAAAATACAAAAATTAGCCAGGCACGGTGGTGGGCACCTGTAATCCCAGCTACTCGAGAGGCTGAGGCAGGAGAATCACTTGAACCCGGGAGGCGGAGGTTGCAGTGAGCCTAGATCGCGCCACTGCACTCCAGCCTGGGCGACAAGAGTGAAACTCTGTCTCAGAAAAAAAAAAAAGAAAAAAAGAAAAAGAAATGCCTACCCTTAAATATGAGTTTCTGAAAAGACTGTGGAACCCCTATGGCCTCTTCAACAACCTGGGCCAGGTCTTGGACAACTGGTTCACTGCTGCCCTGCTGCGGGGTAACATGAAGGTCGTGCTTCTCATTGCCTGGGGAGAAAGAAAAGCATTTGACAAAGATGATTCTTTCACATAAACCAACAGAGGGTGACACTTTATTACATTTATTTACACAGCCTTCAAGGCCCAGCTCATATGCCACCTACACCACAAAGCCTGCCCCCATGCCACCCAGCTTTCCTCTGGTGACCTCCTCAAGGATCTCTGTTTCCTCTATTATAATAACTAACAATATGAATGATATCAGCTAACATTTTAAGCATTTCATGCATAATCAAATTTAATCCTCAGAAAAACCCCACGAAGTAGATCTACCTATTACTTCTTATTTCACAGATGAGCAAACTGTGACCTCAGGCAAGTTAAGGCCTGCCTATGGAGACCCAGCTGTTGGAATCAGAACTTGACATCAGATCTAGCTGATTCTCAAGCCCACCTTTTTCATCACAAGCCATCTGCTTCCTGTGGCCTGACTGCCCTGTACCCTGTATTGTACTGGTCTCGTCTCGCTTGCTGTAACGGGCAAGTGACTGCTTTCCTGTCTCTCCCACTGGACACACAAGAGTGCATCCATGATTGGTGCTAAGCAGACAGACAAATGAATACGAACAGCAGAGCCTTTCTTTCTGAAGGAGAGATGCCAGTTCTTTTCCAGGGATGTGGACAATAAGGAGGGAGCCTGTGTCCAGTACATTACATCAAGGTTTGGTTCCCCCAACAGCTCCGTGAGGTCAGCGGGAGCCAGGGTTACCAAATCTACTTCACAGAGGAGAAACTGGATTCTTAGAAAGAAGCCGTCCATCCCAAGGTCACTCTAAACTGCAGGATCTAGAATCCGGGTCTCCAGATTCCCAGACCCTTGAGCCTCCCCTAGCTGGTTCTGGGGAAACCTCATGGACTTAGCTCTCCGGTGTACTGACTTCATTTGGTTGTGTGTCAACTCCAACAGTAGGCAGACCCAAAGGATGCCCAGAGTACAACGCTTAGACCCACAGCCAACTCAAGTGGCGCACACGGAGAAGGCACTCAGCAGATGAGGAGCACCCCGGCAGGCACGAAGTTCTGACTCGTTACACACGGAGCAGTCGTAGACCACATGGCCAAATATATGCCTGACACAAAGACCACAATAACTGCGCGGGCACACAAACACAACCAGTCCCACGACGTAAAGCGCGGACAAGCTCGAACACCCAGGATCGCACAAATGGCCAGAGACAAAATACACCGGCCACATGGAAAAGTATACAAAAGACAGTTCCACGGACACAACCAAGAACCCACGCTTCCGGACGCCAGGACAAGCGCAAGGTCACACGCTTCTGGAGAACACGTGACTAAACCCACAGACCCCGCCGGGCTTTCGGGGCCAGCAAGGAGCCCACCCGGCGCCCGACACTCACTGTGGGTGACAGTCACGGTGAGCCCAGGTGCCGCCATTTCCTCCCTGGTCACCTCCTCGCTCTGGGTCGCCTCCTCGTCCGGGGTCACCTCCTGGCTCCGATTCATCTCTTCGCTCCGAGTCGCCTCCTCACTCTGGGTCGCCTCTTCGCTCCGCGTCGCCTCCTCACTCAGGGTCAACTCCTCGCTCCGGGTCAATTCCTCGCTCCGGGTCGAGCGGCGCCGGGTCTTCTTCTTCATCCGCGGCCTGCGAGCGCCGGCGGCGGCGCCCCTGGTGGGTCGGTCATGGCCGCTGGCAGCACCCCGGACAGGTGGACGCCGAGAGGGAGGCGGGCCACGCTGGGCCGGGGGCTCCGACTGGCGCGGCTCCCGGCCTGGCCGAAGGGCGCGCAGCCGAGAGCCCAGCCGCTCCCGGTCGCCTCGTGGTCTCCGCGCCCCGCCGCGTTGAGCCAGGCCCGCGCTTGTTGACCGCCCAGCGATGGTAGCTGAGCGCGGCGTCTTACAACCCCGCCCGACTGCTTCCCAGCCCCGCCCCGCCCTGCCGGCCCCGCCCTGCCGGCCCCGCCCTCGCCCTCGCCCTATGCCGCTTTAGTTGCCCGCAGGCCCCACCCACTCAACTGAGGCCCCGCCTTGCTACAATAAAACCCCTCCCACTCCTTCCACCAACACCCCGCCCCCTGCAGGCTCTCTCCGAGTGCACCAAGTTGTTTTGCTCTCCTTCCCCGGAAGACCCGGCTGAAAATCCGGAAAAAGAATCGGGAAACGCCAGGGGGCATATTGCGCTTGCGCACAGAGGGGCCGGAAGTCGAGGCGGGAGGCTTCCGTTTCTGGTTTTGCTCAAGTGTTTGGGTTTCTTCGCGGCCGCTGAAGATGAACCGACTCTTCGGGAAAGCGAAACCCAAGGCTCCGCCGCCCAGCCTGACTGACTGCATTGGCACGGTGGGCATTTGATCATGCATAAGTAGGCTCAGGACCTCTGACACACCCGACCCCGCCCACCCCCGGTGCCGGGCCCCTATTCTTTCACTTCGTTTCGGGTCCTGGGCCCCTTATACGTCGGCGCTCTCTGTCCCACCTTCTCCCCTTCATCCCTGTTACCCAAGTCATTCCTAACGCCACAAACCAGGGACCCCGTAACCCCATCACTGCCTTGCCCTGCCAGCACCCAACCCGTTTTGATGCTCACTGCCTGTCCACTCTCGCCTTGATCGTCTCACTTCACCCAGCCCTAGGCCCATACACCCTTCCCACCTCGTCCTGCCTGATCCCTTACCCTTCTTGCATCTGTCATCCCCAGCCCACATCAGGACTCAGCTTGATATCCTAGGTCAACATTATCTGTACCTCAGTCTTGGATCTCAGTAACACAAAACTCAGAACCCTGGCCCTTCAGATTAAGCCACCATCCCCGATTTAGGAAATGGCACTAGATCTACAATCAGCTGGTTTCACTGGGCACTGGCCCATTTCACGCGCCTCTTGGATGAGCTCTTAGCCTGGCTAATCTCTGATTCTAGGGAAATTCCAACTCAACTCAGTGATTCTCAAATTATTTTCTGCCCCAACCCACTTGAGGGCTACCTGGTATATCAGAATTGGGGCAGTGTGGCGGGGGAGTCAGAGTATAATTTATAAAAGCCCAGAGTTTCTGGTTGGGAATGCCCTTCTTTGTGAACCACTGTTTTTCACCCTTCCCCTTAAGCTCCTCTTTTCTTCCTCTGTATTCCTTCCTCTCTACCTGCCCCTTCTGGATTAAGTGTATTGCAGTAACTACCAGTGCATTTGATATTTTCCCCCAAGGTGGACAGCAGGGCAGAATCCATTGACAAGAAGATTTCTCGATTGGATGCTGAGCTAGTGAAGTATAAGGATCAGATCAAGAAGATGAGAGAGGGTCCTGCAAAGGTAAGGTAGGCAGCAACCGCTGCATAAGGTGCTGGCACAGCCTAGTTTTAGCACTTATAGAAATAGGGCCTAGTTTGGCTGGGCACGGTGAGTCATGCCTGTAATCCAGCACTTTGGGAGGCTGAGGCGGGTGGATCACGAGGTCAGGCATTTGAGACCAGCCTGGCCAACATAGCGAAACCCCATCTCTACTGAAAATACAAAAACTTAGCTGGGCATGGTGGCGGGCGCCTGTAATCCCAGCTACTCAGGAGGCTGAGGCAGAAGAATCACTTGAACCTGGGAGGCGGAGGTTGCAGTGAGCAGAGACCACACCGTTGTACTCTAGCCCGGGTGACAGTGTGAGACTGCGTCTCAAAAAAAAAAAAAAAAAAAACAGGACCTAGTGCAGGGGCTGTGAGCGTCTCTACAGAAGAGATGCTTACAGTCTCATAAGGAGAAAATATGTGAGGGTGTATCCTTTAGGGAGGAGAGTTTGCAACCAAATATAGAAGGGAGGCTGGGGATTGATCTGGTGAAAAGAGATGCTGGTCACACGTCTAAAAGCATGTGCATGAGAATTAGCATATTATACTGAGAAGGTGGTCATCTGGAGAGGAAGACTGGGCTGTGCTCAAGATCAATGACTTGCCAAGCTGGTCAGGTTAGGTTGGTATACTAGACTGCTTAAGGCGTGGCCTGCTGGGAAAAAGTGAACTAGGCGTCTGGGACCAGTGTTCTAATACTAACACTGTCCCTGCCATCTAGTTGTGACCTTGATAAAGTCACTTATTTTCCACTCCTGTTAGGTAGAAACATAAAATACTGCGTTTAAGCACATGGAGTGTGGATATAGAAGTACCTTGTTTTTTCCAGATCCATAACTTGTTAACCATGTGAGCCTGGGTATCACTGAACCTCTATTTCCTCATCTATAAAACAGAGATAATACCTACCATACAGTATGAGGATTAAATGAGGTAATTGATGTGTACCACTATGTCTAGGATAAAGTAGTACTCAGTAAATGTGAGTTATGATAATCTGTGAAGTAATAATACCTGTTTTTCCTTCCTTATTGGAGAAGACAAATAAAATGATCTACAGCATTCTATAGAAAAGGAAGGCTTTTTCCAGCCATCTTAGTGGATGATGGGGAATGAAGAGCAACCAGAGGCAGGAAAGCCCATCTAGATTTGAGACAATGAAAGCCCAAACCATGGTGGTAGGAAACCAAATAATCAGTTTGAAAGTGAGTTCTGAAATCAGCTAACAGGATGATTGTTCATGAACAAACTACAGAAAGAGGAAAGATAAGGTTGATATAAAGATTTTCAACCTAGAGAGGTGAGAGATTGGTGGGCTGTTGTTACCTATTTCCAAGGTGAGATAAGGTTTAGGAGTTTGGAATTATTGAGGTTAAGTTGATAGGCTATACAAGTGAAGAATCTCCCTAAGGCAACTGGATATACAGAATCAGCACTTTTGGGGCTAGAGGCGGAGATAACATGCATTAGGAAAAGAGAAAGTAGTTCAGGACTCTGGGATGTGGGATGCAAAGACAGATAGGAGCTAAGGCTTAAAGACTGGACCTTAGAGATACCTGTTTTGGGGAGGGGAAGAACAGAATCCAGGAGCCATTATGCATACTACTTTGAAGAAGAGAGGAAGTAGGCATGTGAGTTTGAGGCTATGGGAAATTTCTTTTACCGTATGTGTGTTTTCCACCTTATTTTTATTAAATCTGTTTTTCTCTCCAGAATATGGTCAAGCAGAAAGCCTTGCGAGTTTTAAAGCAAAAGCGGATGTAAGTTACACACACAATTTCTTTCCCTGTAGCAGGTTTAACTAAAAGAAAAATGGTCTTCCATTCCTTCAGGTTTTCATACTATTTTCTAAGCACTCTTGATTTAATTACAAATTTTCATTGACAAGTAATTAAATACAGTTAGCTGGTTTCTTCCCCGCTACGTGTTCAGCAATATCTGTTGTAACAGCTTCCATCTAAATAGAACTTTTTGCCATGATAGAGATGCTCTATATCTGTGTGCTCAATACAGTAGCTATTAGCAACATGTGGTTATTGAGCACTTGAAATGTGGCTGGTGTGACTAAGGAACTGAAGTTTAAATTTTATTCAATTTAAATAATTTAAGTAGCCTTAAATGGTTAGTGACTACTGTTTTGGACCAGATCTGTAGGGTTTGGTTTTCCTGTTACTTATTTTAGAGTGTACCTTTTTTGTTTTTGTTTGTAAAGTTAGGAATCCTAAATGTTTGTTCCCTCCCACCATAATAAATTTAAAGATCCTTAATTTGTTTTAGGCGACTATGTCCCAGTTTTGAGCAGAAGCTAACTAGTATCTTTGGTGCCTACCTCTGTGGACTGTCAGCTGATGAGATCCTCTGCAGGGTTATAGAGGTCAGGTGTAATTAGCTATTGAGGAACTAGAAAGATTGTCAGTATCTCTCTTCCTATATTAAAACGACTTTTTATAAGATACCAGATGCCATCTTCCTCCTTTTAGATTAGATCAAATTGGAAAAAGAAATTGTAATGCCTAGACTGGTGAGAGTGTGGTGAAATGATTTACCTTCTTAATTGGTAGCATTACTAGTTTTAAGTAACGTTTTTTGTGATAAAAAGAATACAGGTTCATTGTAGAAACTTGGAAAATACATAAATATGAACAGCAGAAAATAAAATTTACCTAGATTCTTACTGCTAGAAATAACCACCTTTAAAATGCTAATTTCTTCCAGTTTCTTTCCTCTGCTTCTGCATATGTGGTATGTGTGCATATAACTTTTTAGAAGAAATGAAATTGTAGTGTGTATATGTCGCTTTTCCTTTTCCACTTAATATCATGAGCATTTCCCTGTTCTTTTAAATATTCTTTGGAAACTTTACATTTTTTAATGAGATTATAATATTCTACCATTTGCTTGCACCATGAATGGACCATTCTTTTTTTTTTTTTTTTTGGATCATTCTTTTTCTAGTGGGGTAGATTGTTTCCAATATTGTATAAAGAACATAGTGACATAAGTCTTTGAGGTAATATTATAATTTGATATAAAACTTTATTTTACAAACATTTTGAACACCAGACATTATATTAGGTCAGATGGATTACCTAATTATGGGTACAAAATTAATAAAACACACCTGGGGCTGGGCACAGTAGCTCACACCTATAATCCCAGCATTTTGGGAGGCCAAGACAGCAGATCATTTGAGGTCAGGAGTTGGAGATCAGCCTGGCCAACATGGTGAAATCCCGTCTCCACTAAAAATACAATTAGCTGGGTGTGGTTGCGTGCGCTTGTAGTCCCACCTACTTGGGAGGCTGAGGTGGGAGAATCGCTTGAACCCAGGAGGCAGAGGTTACAGTAATCTGAGACGGCACCACTACACTCCAGCCTGGGCAATAGAGCAAGACTGTCTCTAAACAAACAAATAAATAAATAAATAAACAAAATAAAATATACCTGTCTTCAAGGAGTTCAAAATTCTGGAAAACCGTTTAGCTATATGTATGAAGAGCCTTAAAAATAGTTTTACCCTTTGCTCTAAGAATTTCACTTCTGTATATTTATCATAGAAAATAATTATAAAGACATACTAAGATATGCAGCAGGCCTGGCGCAATGGGTCATGCCTGTAATCCCAGCAGTTTGGGAGGCTGAGGCGGGCGGATCACCTGAGGTTGGGAGTTCGAGACCAGCCTGACCAACATGGAGAAACCCTGTCTCTACTAAAAGTACAAAATTAGCTGGGCATGGTGGCGCATGCCTGTAATCCCAGCTACTCCAGAGGCTGAGGCAGGAGAATTGCTTGAACCCAGGAGGCGGAGGTTGCGGTGAGCCGAGATGGTACCATTGCACTCCAGCCTGGGCAACAAGAGCAAAACTCTGTCTCAAAAAAAAAAAAAAAAAATGATACGCAGCAACATAGAAAAAAGCAAATGCTATAATGTTAAGTGGAAAATAGTGTTATAACTAAAATACAGTCATGTGCTGCATAACAATGTTTTTGTCAGTGAATGACAGAACAGACTGCATTATACCACTCTGGCCCCTATAAGGTTATAATACTGTATTTTTACTGTATCTTTTCTATAGGATGTTTAGATACACAGATACCATAGTGTTACAATTGGCTACGATATTCAGTACAGTAACATGCTGTACAGGTTTGTAGCCTAGGAGCAAGCACTAGGCTATGTCATATAGCTTAGGTGAGTAGTGGGCTATACCGCACAGGTTTGTGTAAATACACTCTGTGATATTTGCACAATGATGAAATTGCCTAACAATGTATTTCTTAGAACATATCCCCATTGTTAAGCGATGCATGACTGTACATGCAAAGGAAAAAGACTGGAGGGACACATCGAATGATACTGGTGTTAGAGTGATTAAATTGTTTTTGCCAATTTCTCTGTGTGATATCTAATTTTTAAGTTTTTTGTTCCTTTTTTTTTTAAAAGAAAATACTCTTATTTAGTGTGGGGATACTTTGTTCTTGAGGATTTCTGTCTGGTTCATATATTTGCCATTCTCAATTGACTCTAAAAAGGTATGAGCAGCAGCGGGACAATCTCGCCCAACAGTCATTCAACATGGAACAAGCCAATTATACCATCCAGTCATTGAAGGACACCAAGACCACGGTACTCCCAAAACATTGTTTCCTGTTATTTCATTTATTTATTCTTATTCTCTTTTCCTATGGCTTTTTAAAGACAGTTGAACCAGCTGGGTGCAGTGGCTCACGCCTGTAATCCCAACACTGGGAGGCTGAGGTGGGTAGATCACCTGAAGTCAGGAGTTCGAGACCAGCCTGACCAACATGGTGAAACCCTGCCTCTACTGAAAAATACAAAAATTAGCTGGGTGTGGTGGTGCACACCTGTAATCACAGCTACCTGGGAGGCTGAGGCAGGAGAATCGCTTGAACCCAGGAGACAGAGGTTGCAGTGAGCCATTGCACTCCAGCCTGGGCAGCAAGAGTGAAACTGTCTCAAATAAATAAATAAATAAAGACAATTTAGCCAACATGACTTTCTAAAACATTGTGTTTTCTTCTTCCTTTTCTTAGGTTGATGCTATGAAACTGGGAGTAAAGGAAATGAAGAAGGCATACAAGCAAGTGAAGATCGACCAGATTGAGGTGAGACATATGCTACTTTCTGCAAGAATGTGCACTAGTTTCTGAGAGAATCCAAACGAGTGTGCGTGTGATAGGAATAGCACAGGAGAGGAACTGAATCTTGGGGCTGCCGTTTACTAGTAGAGCAACTTCAAGAAAGGGTACCAAATGTCTCAGTTTCCTCAGATCCTAATACCACATACAGTTACAGACTGTCCCTGATTTAAGATGGTTCAACTTAACGATTTTTCAGTTTGATGATGGTGCGAAAACTATATGTATTCAGTAGAAACCATACTTCGAATATCCACGTAACCATTCTGTTTTTCAGTTTCCTTACAATATTTAATAAATTACATGAGATACTCAACACTTTGTTATAAAATAGGCTGTTAGATGATTTTGCCCAACTGTAGGCCAATGTAAGTGTTCTGAGCACAATTAACGTAGGCTAGGTTAAGTGATGGTTTAGTAGGTTAGGTGTATTGAATGCACTTTCTTTCTTTTTTTTTTTTTTTGAGAGGGAGTCTTGCTCCGTCGCCCAGGCTGGAGTGCAGTGGCCAGATCTCAGCTCACTGCAAGCTCCGCCTCCCGGGTTTATGCCATTCTCCTGCCTCAGCCTCCCGAGTAGCTGGGACTACAGACGCCCGCCACCTCGCCCGGCTAGTTTTTTTTGTATTTTTTAGTAGAGATGGGGTTTCACCGTGTTAGCCAGGATGGTCTCCATCTCCTGACCTTGTGATCCGCCTGGCCGGCCTCCCAAAGTGCTGGGATTATAGTCTTGAGCCACCACGCCTGGCCCTGAATGCACTTTCTACTTAAGATATTTTGAACTTACGATGGGTTTATCAGAATGTAACCCTATCATAAGTCAAGGAACTTCTGTATTATGAGGATTAAATAAATGAGCTAGTATATCTACACGCACAATGCCTGGCCTATAATAAGCATCCAGTAGTTACTTTTAACTAATGCAATGATACTTAGTCTGTTTCTTCAATGGTAGAGTAGTGATGTTGTTGCCTTTTCCCAGGACTGTCATGAGTGTTAAATGAAGGTATGTAGGTAAAGTGTGTGTAAAGTGTTTAGCCCAACTCCTGGTGTAGTAGACTTGGTTCCCTTTTCTAGTAATTCTCTTTAGATTTTTAATAATAATGTCATTAGTTCCTTACACTTAGCATTTTTTATTGGAATTGGGTATTGACCAGGGAGATGAGCCCTAAGAGCTTGGCAGCTCTCAGCTGTCAGATGAACAGCCCAGGTGGCAAGAGGAGATAGCAGAGGGAGTGAGTGGTGACTGGTCAGAGGAGAGAGGCTTCCTTTCTGCATACAAAATGGTGCTCTTGACCTTTACCCCCTAACTAGAATGTCCATTTCCTTGAATGCAGGGACTTGATTTTGTTCACTACTATGTCCCTAGTGCCCACAGCAATGCCCCGCCATAGTTGGTGCTCAGAAAGTATTTGATGGTTGATGAATCAGAGACTATAAAAGGAGATAAAGCCAAAAAAAAGGGGGTGAGAGAAAGCTGTATGGCCTGATTCAAGCAGTGTTTGTTGGGTGAGCAGTTACTACATACCAGGCATTTTATTGCCTCTGCAAAGGTATTCTCTGATAATGCTGATCTTTAGTAAGAGTAAAGGCAGGCCGGGCGCGGTGGCTCACGCCTGTAATCCCAGCACTTTGGGAGGCCGAGGCAGGTGGATCACGAAGTCAGGAGATGGAGACCATCCTGGCCAACACGGTGAAACCCCGTCTCTACTAAAAATACAAAAAAAATTAGCCGGGCGCGGTGTGGTGGCAGGTGCCTGTAGTCCCAGCTACCCGGGAGGCTGAGGCAGGAGAATGGCGTGAACCCGGGAGGCAGAGCATGCAGTGAGCCGAGATCTCACCACTGCACTTCAGCCTGGGCGACAGAGTGAGACTCTGTCTCAAAAAAAAAAAAAAAAAGTGAAGGCATTTCTCCCCTCTCTCATTTTTTCAAGCACCCCTCTTAGGTTGCCTTGGTCTCTAATCCTCCACAAGTGTCTGCATGCATGGAATTAAACAATATGATACTCTCTTAAGAGCTTCACTGATAAAAGTGTTCTGTGTATGCTTGTCTTTGTTTTTTTTTTTTTTTTTGAGACAGAGTCTCGTTCTGTCACCAAGGCTGCAGTGCAGTGGTGTGATCTCGACTCACTGCAACCTCCGCCTCCTGGGTTCAAGCGGTTCTCCTGCCTCAGCCTTCCAAACAGCTGGGATTACAGGTGCCCACCACCACGCCCAGCTAATTTTTGTATTTTTTTGTAGAGATGGGGTTTCACCATGTTGGCCAGGCTAGTCTCAAACTCCTGAACTCAAGTGATCCGCCCACCTCGGCCTCCCAAAGTACTGGGATTACAGGCATGAGCCATCACTCCCAGCCATCTTTTTTTGTATAATATCATTTGCCATTAAAATATAATGAAATGCAATGGTATTTTCTGCTTTTAGGGTTCCTTGTGTTTTAATTAAAGCTATTTAATAGGAACAAAAGAGAAACTTTGGTCTTTGTGAATGCTTTGTATGTCTCTTCGTCTCTCACCTGTGGTTGTCTGTCTCCCTGCCTAATTAATCCTTTTCCTGTCCTTCAATAGATTGCCAGCATGACAGGTGGAGAGCCCCTTTAACTCTTTTGGTGTGTATGTGTCTTTGGTTAGATCCGAATTTTTTGGTTAGATTTATTTTCCTAAAATGCTTTACTTGGAAAATATTTTCATTGTTTTATAGCTTTAACTTTTTATTTTGCTGTTGTGTGCGTGTAGGTCTGTTTTTCTTTTGCTTTTTTCAGTTTCTGCATATCACTGCGTCAATGTTCTTTTTAGCTTAGTGCTTATATTTTTTTATATTGCTTTTGTTTGTTTATGCAATAGAAAACCAGCTAATTGTGGGATGAATTTTTTCTGTGTCTATTCTGGAGTCTTGCTAGGAATCCTATTCATAGATGATCTGGGAGGATGTGTCTTGATGTGTAATACTATTGTATAAGCTTGACTTGATTAGCTTTCTCTCTGTTATTTTCATTGTCTTTTAATTATCACTCAGCCAGTGCTTCTCTGTGTAGCAGAGTGTTAAATATGCATATAATGTGGCAGTTTGGTACTTGGAAATACAGAAAATCAAAGTTTAAAAAAAAAAATTTCCCCTCCATTTTACTACCCTTTTCACCTTTATGGGGGCCAGGAAGGAATTTTCTTTTTTCTTTTTTGCTGTTGCCCAGGCTGGATTATAGTGACTCAGTCTCAGCTCACCGCAACCTCCGCCTCCCAGGCTCAAGCCATCCTTCTGCTTCAGTCTCCCGAGTAGCTGGGACTACAGGCATACACCATGCCCAGCTAAATTCTGTATTTTTTGTGGAGATGAGGTTTTGCCATGTTCCCCAGGTTGGTCCCAAACTCCTGAACTCAAGCGATCTGCCCACTTTTGCCTCCCAGAGTGCTGGGATTACAGGCATAAGCTACTGCACCTGGCAGAATTTTCAAATGTCTTGCATTGCGTTAGAAATTCTGAAGGATAAATGGTACTGATTTGGTCCTTTTGCTTTATCATCACTAGTTCTATTCCTGTCTGTGTGGAATTACAGTATATGAAGAGTGTATTGTTCTGCACATAATTAACACAGTAAAATATATATAGTATTAGGTGCTTAGTGTTTTACATATATTATTGCAATAAATCCTTACAATAACCGCAGTGAGAATATGGCTATTTTATTTATTTATTTTCGAAATGGAGTCTCGCTCTGTTGCCCAGGCTGGAGTGCAGTGGCGCGATCTCGGCTCACTGCAACCTCTGCCTCTCGGGTTCAAATGATTCTCCTGCCTCAGCCTCCTGAGTAGCTGGGATTACAGGTGCATGCTGCCATGCCCGGCTACTTTTTTGTATTTTAGTAGAGATAGAGTTTCACTGTGTTGCCCAGGCTGGTTGCAGACTCCTGAGTTCAGGCAATCCACCCGCCGTGGCCTCCCAAAGTGCTGGGATTACAGGCATGAGCCACCGCGCCAGGCCAGATACGGCTATTAATAATTCCATTTTACAAATGAGGAAAATAAGGCTTAGAGACATTACTTCTCATTGAGTAATGGCAAAATTGAACTTGGGTATATCTGACTCCAGAGTCTCACTCCTAACCATTATACCAGCTGCCCTTTGTTATGCTATACCACTTCTTAGATTGGTTTCACATTACAATTTACCCTTGAACAGCAAGTGCAGTTTGAACTGCACGAGTCACTTATATGCAGATACTTTTCAACCAAACAAGGATCGAAAATATAGTATTTGCAGGATGCGAAACCACCCATATGGAAGGCCGACTGGGGACTTAGGTATGGGCAGATTTTGGTATAGGCAGACATCCTGGAACCAATCCCTGCGTGTACCAAGGGACAACTGCATTTTTAGCCTTGTAGTAATCTCCCAGTTAAGCACAGGTAGATTATTCACACATGATTTATGCCCTCGGTCCATTTTTTTCACCAGCCTTGTCTTGGCTGTGACACCTATCATGATTCCCTTTCTGATTCTCCACCCAGGGTGGGCCATGTACAACTCACTTTTTCTACCACTTCAGTTGTTTCTACTCTTGCCGCCTTTCTCTACACAATGTAATCTGTCTTTGACCGACTTGAGAAGAAGAATTTGCTTGTCTCAATAACCTCCCTGTCTTCATTAACTAGAAAATGATTGATAGTTTAGATCAAGATAGTTGCTTGATTTAATGTTTCAAGTAAAACTTTCTGTAATAGTAGACAGCTAGACAGCTGACATCATCTATTCTCACATAGGACTTTGGGCTTCCATGAGGCACTTTAAAATCAAATCCAGCCGGGCATGGTAGCTCATGCCTATAATCCCAGCACGTTGGGAGGCTGAGGCGGGCAGACCACCTGAGGTTGGGAGTTCGAGACCAGCCTAACCAAGATGGCAAAACCCTATCTCTACTGAAAATACAAAAATTAGCCAGGCGTGGTGGCGCACACCTGTAATCTCAGCTACTTGGAGGCTGAGGCAGGAGAATTGCTTAAACCCGGGAGGTGAAGGTTGCAGTGAGCTGAGATTGCACCATTGCACTCCAGCCTGGGCGACACAGCGAGACTCCATCTCAATAAATAAATAAATAAATAAAGTAAAAAATAAAGTGAGAGATCGCCAATTCTATTCTTTACTTTTAAGTTCACATTTTGCCACCAAAAATAGGTGGGGGATTATGTGGGTCAGTAACATTCATAGTTATTGTTAGAGGAAATCTTTGGGCTTGTGGTTTTTAATTCTTAAGCATTCTCTCATACTTTTAATTAGAAGGGATGTTTAAGAGTTACTTGAACCTGTCCTTTAGAGGAGTGTCTGCTCAGTTGTTGACATTAAAAAATTGCTAGCCAAAGACTGGGCTAGGGGAGGTGAACTAACAGTTTTTGAGAACTGTTTTATGTGCTTGGTGTTTTACATACATTATCTTTTTAAAAATTGCTCATGTCTAGATTCAAAGGAGAATGTAGGGGAAAGGGGTACTTAGAAGAAAATGGTAAATAAGAGAAAATCCTCTCATATATATTTCCATAGGATTTACAAGACCAGCTAGAGGATATGATGGAAGATGCAAATGAAATCCAAGAAGCACTGAGTCGCAGTTATGGCACCCCAGAACTGGATGAAGATGATTTAGAAGCAGGTAAGTTATGAGAAAAGTAATGTATATTTAGTTTTGGAGTCCAAAAGGAACAACTGCCTGGGACCTTTTCCCAAATGCTAGTGAAAATTTCTATCAGGATTTCCTGAAGGTTAGTTTACGGTACAGTCCCTGGGCAAAGAGCTTGTGAGGCAGCCACATCAGATTGTATACTCCACCAACAACAGTGGGATGGATCAACTCGGAAGGAAGTCCAGGTACAGGCTGACCTGGTGCTTAGTATCTGTAAGTGTCCTCCACATGGCCTTTCCTTGCTATATTCCTTTTGATTTTGTTCTACCTGTTTTCCTAGTTGGAGTGATCTCCCTCAGAACAGCAAAACCAATTAAGAAACAATAATTAGGGCCAGGCACTCTAATCCCAGCACTTTGGGAGGCCAAGGTAGGCGGATCCACTCAAGCCCAGGAGTTCGAGACCTGGCGGAGCAATGTGGCGTGACCCCATCTCTATAAAAAATACAAAAATTACCCAGGCATGGTGGTGTGTGCCTGTAGTCCTAGCTACTCGGGAGGCTGAGGTGGAAGGATCACTTGATCCCAGGAGGTAGAGGTTCCAGTGAGCTGAGATTGCACCACTGCAGCCTGGGCAGCAGAGTGAGACCTTCTCTCAAAAAAAAGAAAAAAAGAAATAATCATTGGCAAATACTTAGTGTGCATCTACTCTATTCCAGGTATTCTACTAGGTGGTGGGAATTTAGCACTGAATAAAAATGCAGTCCCTACATTCATGAAGCTTCTCTAGCAGTGGAAGACATAAATGGTTTGCTTCAAGTAATTAATTACTAGAGCACAGACTATAGGCAAGAAGTATGGGGTAGCATGGGAGCACATACTAAGGGACTCTAACCTAATTAGTAGTGGGAGAGAGGCATGGGACCTGAAGGATGAGTAGGGGATAGCATGAAAAAATGAGATAGATTGTCAAATGGCCTCAGGGAGAGCAGTCTGGAACCTATTGCGATAACCATTTAAGAGATGATGGTGGCCGAGACTAGCTAGGGTGATGGTAGCAGAAACAGACAGAAGTGGACAGATTGAAGACATCTTAGAAAATTGAGTGGGCAAGATTTAATGATTGGTTGGATGTAGAAGAAGTGGGAGGTGTCAAGGGTGACTGTCAGTTTCTAGCATGCGTAACTGGGTAGATGACAGAACCATTCCACACTGAATTTCTATTGTGTGATTCCCCTGTTACATTACTGCTGCTGCTTTCCCGCTCTCTCCATGGTCTTTTTTTGCCTAGAACCTTTTAATTTTTTTCCATTTATTTCTTTATTTTTTAATTTCCCATCTTCAGTTGCCCCTGATGAGTCTCTACCTGCTATTGTCATTCCTCTTGGGTACTTCCAACTCATTTTACCACAGACTTATTTTTGGAGTCTGATTTCATGTAATGGTCACACAGCATACAACAATCTCATGCCCTCTTCACTGCCTTCTTTTAAGTCCATCGATAAATGAGAGAATTTATTAGCTCCCAGTTTTCTTGGTTACATTTTTTTTAAATGTTGACTGTTTCAATCTCAGAGTTGGATGCACTGGGTGATGAGCTTCTGGCTGATGAAGACAGTTCTTATTTGGATGAGGCAGCATCTGCACCTGCAATTCCAGAAGGTGTTCCCACTGACACAAAAAACAAGGTGAAAGCTTTTTCTGTTTATATTTTAATGCAAAATAGCAAAGGCTTTATGCTTGACCATAAGTCTGGGAATCTAAAAGGTAGTCTTACATTAGAACAAAGAAAGACAGTCCTGGTCATTATTTTGTGAACCCTTGAAGGTCTGGTTTTTCTGCATTGGATGATGAACTGACTGCATAAACAGTGTCACTGAGGCTCAGGAATATTTTTATACAATGACAATTTGTGTAACATACATAATCACCCTTGTTGTGAGCTGGCACTGGGTACCATTGATGGGTCTTAGACATTTCCCGTAAAAGCATAAGCAACACATGCATGAGACTTGCTAGGCAGCAGTGGAAAAGTCTCACTCTCCATACACACCAGTTAATTACTGGCTGGATTTTTAATTTTATTTTCCTTTCCTTTTCTTTTTTTTTCCTATACACACAGGAGTTTAGAACGAGTGGATTTTCTAAACTATGGATTAATAATTTAAGCATAAAACTTAATGTAGAAAGATTCTAATTTAAGGCAAAAGAATCAGAACACCTGGCACTAAGTATGACTAATTACTTAGCTGTTGTAAGCTTTTCTTTTCCTTGCATCTGTAAAATACAGATAATTACAGGTATCTCATGTAATTGTTGTGCAAGCAAATTAGATCTTGTATATAAAGGACTTTGCAAACCTAAAGCTCTGTCCAAATCTACATGGTTGTCTTTTTTTTTTTTTTTTTTGAGGCAGAGACTCATTCTGTCACTCAGGCTAGAGTGCAGTAGTGTGATCTCAGCTCACTGCAGCCTCTGCCCCCCTGGTTCAAGCAATCCTCGTGCCTCAGCCACCCAGGTAGCTGGGATTACAGGTGTACGCCACCATACCCGGCTAATTTTTGTATTTTTAGTAGAGACGGGATTTCGCCATGTTGGCCACACTGGTCTCAAACTCCTGGTCTCAAGCGATCCGCCTGCCTCAGCCTCCCAAAGTGCTGGGGTTATAGGCATGAGCCACTAATAATGACAACCAGGCTGAGCACAGTGTGACTTTGAGCAAAATAGCAGAAATTTATGTCTTCTTTTTGAACCTCATCAGTTTTTCCTACGTGTAAAATGTGAGAGCAAAGGGCAGGGAGGAGGTAATTTCTTAGGTCCATTATTGCTGGTTTCTGTGAGTATGCATCTTCCTCTATTGTATCCCTCCCTTCTCTGTTGAGCCTGGGATAGTCTTGCCTTTCTGAACTGCCCACTCCTCCCCGACCTCTCTGGCAACTTCAAGGTCCCAAGTCCATGGGTTACTTTTTCTCAGCAACCCATGAAATAATTTTTATTAACACTACCATAGTCCATCTTGTTAATTTCCTAGTAACAAGTCCCTGAAGCATCTACGTTATTTCCACTTTGAGAAGGTCACAGATTCCTGAGTTATATATGCTATGGATATATGGGGTTTTTGTTGTTGTTGTTGTATCTTTTTGAGATGGAGTCTCACTCTGTCACCCAGGCTGGAGTGCAGTGGCACAATCTCTGCTCACTGCAACCTCCACCCCCGAGTTCAAGCAATCCTCCCACCTCAGCCTCCCAAGTAGCTGAGATTACAGGCAAGCTTCACCACGCCTGGCTAATTTTTTGTGTTTTCAGTAGAGATGGGGTTTCACCATGTTGGTCAGGCTGGCCTCAAACTCCTGACCTCAAATGATCCACCTGCCTCAGCCTCCCAAAGTGCTGGGATTATAGGTGTGAGCCATCACGCCCAGCCTGTTGTTGTTTTTAAAGTAAAAGAATAAAAGAATGGCTGCTCCATAGACAGAGCAGCCCTGGTGTTCATCGATAGTGGTATTGCTGCCTATGATTATATAAAGCATGATATGGAAGTGACTGCCTATCCAAGGGCACTGCTCCTTCAAGAATTTGGGAGGCTAAGAAAGGCATTGGTCCACCTTAGGGATCAGGGTGAAAATGCAAATCTGGAGGCAAGGACCCACTGCTTAACCTTTCCTTTTTGACCCTCCCAGCCTCCTTTTCCCCTTTCCAGGTTTACTCTTAGATTTCTCTTTCTCCCTCTTTCACTCTCTTTCCCCTGTGGAGGAGTCCCCTTTTGGCCCTTTCTAGTTCTCTTCTTATCACTTCCTCCTTTACTTTTCATGAAAAAGCTCGTTCTCATCTTATGAGTGGGATTTTGGTTTTGATTGATTAAATACTTGGAAATGAGTTTTAACTATTAAATGTTTGTAATCCTTTTTTTTTTTTTATCAAATGGAAAAAGAGTGGCACTAAACATTGCTTCCTTTTTACAGGATGGAGTTCTGGTGGATGAATTTGGATTGCCACAGATCCCTGCTTCATAGATTTGCATCATTCAAGTATATCTTGTAAAACAAACACGTATTACGGGACTAGGAAATATTTATCTTTCCAAATTTACCATAACAGATGTAGGTTTCTTTCCTTTCTTTGAAGGAAAGTTTAATTACATTGCTCTTTTATTTTTTCCATTAAGAGACTCATTGCTTGGGAAATGCTTTCTTTGTACTAAAATTTTTTCTTAAGAAAAACAAACTCAGTTTAAAAGTATCTTTAGCTCATATGACTTGTTTTCATTCAATAATAATAATTTGAAATAAAACTAAGGAAATGGAATCGTAAAAATCTATGACAGTGTAACTCTACAGTCTCAAAATGACCTGATAAATTGATAAGACAAAGATGAGATTATTGGGGCTATTCATATTATGATTCAGAATCATTTTCTATTGTGGTATTATAGGTTGGTTAAAGTGATGGCCTTTTTGATGGGTTTTGTTGTGTCTTGTGAACAAGTTATTACTGTGTCCATTATTGGAATGGAATTATCACTACTGTATCATGAGTGGGTATTTTGATTCTATGGTTCCCTCAGTGTTACATGTTGACTTGTAATCAATAATGAATATTTCTTGATATTTAATGTATAGGACATTTATTTATACTCAATAAATATTTTTCAAAAGGATATCATTTTAATAATATCACTTCAGCTTAAAACCTCTACTGCGGAAACCAAATTTAATAGAACTTTAATGTCATTTCAGCCTAGAACTCCACTACAGAAACCAAACTAACCAGTAGCATTGTGAGGAAAGAGCAAGGAACAATCTGGGCTTGGGCCCTGGGTCTACCATTTACTAACTACTGAATAGTCTATTCAACTTCTCTAACCTTCTGTTTCCTTATTAGTAAAATCATGCTTAACTCACAGAGCTTTTGTGAGGAATAATTGAGGTAATGGTCATAAGTACCTCGTAAACGGCAAGGGGCTATTCTCATATGAGGGATTGTTAACAATAAAAAAGAAATGGCTTCATTATTTTCTTAGTAGGTGCCTGGAGTGCTACAGCAAGTTCAAACTCCTGCCCAGTTTCAGGGTCTTTAATGATCCTGTCCTCCCTTCTTTACTCAACTTGTTGCCAGCTGCATTCCCCCTCCAGCCTTGCTGGGTGCCTCACAGTGCCATGTGCACCTGCCTCTCACGTGTCTGCAGATCAAACCAATAAACATTTACGAACACCAGCTTTGTAGAAGTCTGTACCAGCCCAGGGGTTACCAAGAACAATCACAGTTCCTCTCTTCAGGAGTTCTTGTCTAGTTATAAGTGGGGATGAGATAACGTATGTAACCCTCTCCCATCTCCAACCTCACCTTCTCAAGAAGCCTTCCAGAGGGAGCAAACATAGTATTCATCATTACCTTCTTGAAACCTTTCTTGGCTGTTCTATGAGTTCTGAGTTTTCTTCTAATCTGGCCCACTTATTCTCTTATATAGACACCTCTTTCTTAGCCCCTTGAATGTTTCTTCCATTACAGTTCCAATCTGTATTCTCCTTGAGAAATCTCACACCCATGATACCAACTATTACCTACGCACTAAAGACTCAAAATGACTGTCACTAGCCTAGACTTCTTATCCTTATTTTCAGTTCTAGGCATTTCCACTTAAATGCCCCGTCATTACCTAGAATCTAACATATCCAAATAAAGCTCATTATCTTGGGGTTCACTGTCAGCAAACATTTCTCTTTGATTTCTTGTCTTGCTTAGTGTTACCAGTGATTCATATATTGCCCATTTTAGTGGGTGATATTTAGCCCTCTAGCTAGACCACATTAGTGCATTGGAGATGAGTGAGCAATCATTCTACCTAAATCTCTACTCTTTGGCTTTTGTGACAGTACTCTCCGGTTCTCCTGTTCCTCTATTCCCTCTAAGGCTTCTTTCTGAAATCCTCAACTCTCTAACTGTAATGTTACTGCTCCTCTGGATTCTAGCTTTTACCCACCAAACTTTTCTCTGTTCACTTATATTTAGTGATCTCAGCTATTCTCATGGCTGGAACTATTAACTTCCAAATTTATACTTCTATCCCTGAACTTGCCCCTGAGTTTCAGAATCTTTATATCCAGCTGTTTGCCTAACAATTATTTGGATGTTCCAGAAGCCCACAAGCACCTCACATTCAAATGGCTGAAACAGCCTATCACCTTTTCTCAGACCTGAATTTCCTGCTGCTTTTTCCCTGTCTCATGATGGGAGCTGTAAGACAGGGAAACCATTGTCTTACGATGGGAGGCTGTAAGGCTAATGGAACTATTATCCTCCTATCATTCAAAACAGAAAACGCTTGAGTTGTCCTTGATGCCTATATTTTGGCTACACAGTCAATTATCCCAATTATCCTTAAACCCTGCTTTTAATCCCTGTTTCTCAAATCCAACTCCTCCTCTCAACTCTTCCTGGCCTAGATGTCTCTCACCCATTCTTTTGGAATGTCTTCTCTTCTTGCATAGTTTCACTTCCTTGAGTACACTGATCACATACAGCTACTCTTACCTTTCTAAAATACAAATCTCACTTAAATTCTTTGATAGTTCTCTAATAATTCCACCAGGGCATAAAAAGCTGCCAATGACCTGGCCTCTGCCTATCTGTAATGGCTTATTGCCTAGTCTTTTCAGAACAGCATTTCCTTTCTTTCAAGGGAACTGCTCCCCCATTTCAACTATGTGATTATTGGAAACATGCCAATTTTAGAGTAGTACTGTCCTTACCCTTCCAAGCTATGAAAGTGTGTATGTGATCACACTGTGTCTATCAGAGTCCATACCTCAGATTTTCTAAATAGAAAGTAGGGAAATTGCTTTTTTCCTTTTTTTCCTTTTTTTTTTTTTAATTCTTTTACTGTTTGTCAGTATGACAGATTGAAGCCAGAGAGGAGCCAAGATAAGAGACAGAATGAAAGACTGTCCGGGGCACTCAGCTCTGAATTCTGATCCTTGACATTCCAAGTCTCTACAACTCTGTTCTGTGAGGTATTTGAGGATTCTGCAAATAAACTTTACCCTCTTTTCTGCTTAAAGTAGTTGGCAATGGGTTCCTGTCACTTGCCGGTAAGAGACAGAATAATTGCTCTGCAGCTTGTGTCATGTCACACTTTTCAATTTTGTGATCTAGTAAGTGTTCTGCGTCTAGTCCCCCCACGTCCACCATACAGCCATGATTCCTTGCCTCTTCATGGTTTCTCCTACCTGAAGCTTCCTTATGTCTTTGTCATTCTGCTAATTCTTCCTGTATTGGGGAAAGGCCAAAGAGCATGCCCTGGTCTGCATCAATACAGTGAATTAAAGGAAAGTGGAAGGAGTGAGTCCTGTATTAGAAAGCCCTGGCACTATAAAACCTGTGATCATCACTCCTATAGCTACCACCAGACAACCTTGCTGGTCAATATTTCACCTGTTAACTATTAGGAAAGAGCAGAATTGAGTGCAGGGAGTCCTAGGTTTTAATCCATCCGTTCTGAGAGTTTAGCAGTAATGGGGAAGGACATTGGAATGATTCCGTATAGTAAAAGTTTAGCACTTCTATCATCCATATCCCTTAGCTTTCCTTTTGTGTTTTCTTATAGTTATGTCACCAAGAGAGTTATTAGAAATACTGATGCCTGGGTCCTACCCCCATAGATTCTGATATAATATATCTGGATACAGTGTGGGCATTTGGATTTTTAAAAGCTCCCCAGGTACTTAAGTGTATCCAGAGTTAACCACTGCTCTGTGGTGCCTGATCAGTCTGAATCTATTTTCATGGTTAAGCATTCTGGACTGTTAACATCAATTTCTGCAGTGAAAGAGTAGGCAATGACTGCCCTAAGGTAAAGTTTTTCGTCCATGGAATGAATTGGGAAGTATTCCCTCCTCCTGTATTTTTTGGAAGAGTTTGTGAAGGATTACTGTTCATTCTTCCTTGATTTGGTAGAATCATTTGGGCTTGGGCTTTTCCTTATGGGAAGTTTTTTAAATTACTGATTCAGTCTCTACTTGTTATAGGTGTATTCAGATGTTCTATTTATTCTTGAGTAGTCTGTGTCTTCCTACGAATTTTTCCACTTCATCTAAGTAATCTAATTTGTTGGCATACAGTTGTTCATAGTATTCCCTTTTGATCCTTTTTATTTCTGTAAACGTGGGTAGTAATGCCTACGTTTTCATCCATAAATTTAGTAATTTCAGTTTTTCTTTTTTCTTGATTATTCTCTCTAAACATCTGTCAGTTTTATCACTTTCTCACTTTTGTTCAATGAACTCTGTTGATTTTTTTCTGTTTTTCTATTTCAATAATTTCTGGTCTTTTATTATCTCTTTTCTTATACATGCTTTGGTTTAGTTTGCTTCTTTTTCTTTTTCTTTTTTCTTTTTTTTGGAGACAGGGTCTCACTCTACTGCCCAGGCTGAAGTGTGGTGGTACAATCACAGCTCACTGCAGTCTCAACCTCCAAGCAGTCCTCCCCACTCAGCCTCCCTAGTAGCTGGAACTACAGGCATGTGCTATCATGCCCAGTTAATTTATTTTTTTAATTTTTAGTAGGGATGTGGTATCCCTATGTTGCCCAGGCTAGTCTGAAAGTCCTGGTCTCAAGCGATCCTCTCGCCTTGGCCTCCCAAAGTGCTGGGATTACAGGTATGAACCACCCCCACGCCAGCCCTGTTATTCTTTTTCCAATTTCTTAAGGTGGAAGGTTAGGCTATTGATTTGTGATTTTTCTTCTTTTTTATTAATAAACTTTTTTTTTTAGAGTTTTGGGTTCACAGCAAATTGAGTGGAAAACACAGAGAGTTCCCATATAACACACAACCTTCCCACTATCAGCTTCCCTCACCACAGTGGTATGTTGCAGTCAGTGAATCTACATTGACACATTATTATCACACGAAGTCTGTAGTTTACATTAGGGTTCACACTTGATGTACATTCTATGGGGTTTTTTGTTGTTTTTTGCTTGAGATGGGGTCTCACTGTGTTACCCAGGCTGGAGTGCAGTGGCAGGATCTCAGCTCACCACAACCTCCGCCTCCCGGGCTCAAGCGATCCCACCTCAGCTTCCTGAGTAGCTGGGACCTCAGGCGCATGCTATCATGCCCAACTAATTTTTGTATTTTTAGTAGAGACGGGTTTTCACCACGTTACTCAGGCTGGTCTTGAACTCCTGGGCTCAAGCGATCCATCCACCTTGGCCTCCCAAAGTGCTGGGATTTCAGGCATGAGCCACCATGCAAGTGATTCTATGGGTTTTAACAAATGTAATGACATGTATCCCCCATTGTAGTATCATGCAGAATAGTTCACTGCCCTAGCAGTCCTCGGTGCTCTGCCTATTCATCCTTCTCTCCCCTTTAACTTCTGTCAACCACTGATCTTTTTACTGTCTCTAATATTGCCTTTTCCAGACTATTATATAGTTGGAATCAAACAGTAAAGTCTTTTCAGATTGCCTTCTTTCACTTAGCAATATGCATTTTTTGCCATGTCTTTTCATGGCTTGATAGCTCATATGGATTTGGGGTTTTTGTGTTGTTGTTGTCTTGTGTTTTTGAGACAGGGTCTCGCTCTGTCACCCAGGCTGGAGTGCTGTGGTGCAGTCTTGGCTCACTGCGGCCTCCACCTCCTGAGCTCAAGTGATCC